ATGCATCGGGCACGATGGGTATGTGAAAAGCTTCTCGATGTTATAACCTAAGGGCATTCGAGAATGCACCTTGATTAGTATACCAATAAATATTTTAGCTTCTTTTTCTTCGTTAGTATTATAAAATCTACTTGTCAAATAAACCAGAGTTCTTGATTGAATGCTAATGCAGGAGGAGCTTGTGGCTATGGCAACTTGTACAGTCAAGGGTATGGCACCAACACCGCAGCACTAAGCACTGCTCTGTTCAACAATGGCTTGAGCTGCGGTGCGTGCTATGAGATGACGTGCACCAATGACGCGCAATGGTGCCTCCCAGGGACCATAACCGTCGCGGCTACAAACTTTTGCCCACCTAACCCTGGCCTGTCTAATGACAATGGTGGGTGGTGCAATCCTCCCCTCCAGCACTTTGATTTGGCTGAGCCTGCTTTCTTGCAGATTGCCCAATACCGAGCTGGAATTGTCCCGGTTTCTTTCCGAAGGTATTGATCACGTTATAATATTGCGTGTGACAACATATTCTAATACCATAGTCTAAAACGTTGAACAATAAAAAAAATGAACTTCCTTGGTGAGCATTAAATGTTCATAAAACAAGGGGTAACTCGACAAAAATAGTTTAGAATTTTAAATGAAAACGTTAAGTATTATATCATAAAAGACGATCATGAATTTGAGTCTCGCCGCTGCATATTTGTATACAATATTACAAAGAAAAGAGACTAAGGTTCTCACAACTACAAATTTTGAATATAAAACTTTTATAATATTTTTATTTGTTGATCTTGACAGGGTGCCCTGCACAAAGAAGGGAGGAATAAGGTTCACAATAAATGGGCATTCCTATTTTAACCTTGTATTGGTCACAAATGTCGGTGGTGCGGGGGATGTCCAATCTGTATCAATCAAGGGTTCTAACACAGAATGGCAGCAAATGTCTAGAAATTGGGGGCAAAACTGGCAAAGCAACTCATACCTCAATGGCCAAAGCCTCTCGTTTCAAGTCACCACCAGCGATGGAAAAACTATCAGTAGCTATAACGTCGCCCCGGGAAATTGGCAATTTGGACAGACATTTGAAGGAGGCCAATTTTAGGCTATAGTAGACACTTTTGCACACAAATAAGAAAGAAAAAGAAAAAAAAATTGTTTATTGTCGCGTGCTGTGCCCCCACAGTGAAGGCTCTATTGTAGTGGTGGCTGGTTAGCCACCCTTAGGGGCCTACTTATAAATACATATAGTCAAGCTATACATATATATTCATATCGTGGCTGAGATTTGATGAAGCCATATTTTCATATAAAATTTGTAGACTAAATCCCTGATTCCGAAAGTCTAATCAGGGATACTAATATAAATGAATTGCCCTTTTCCAAATCAACATTTAGTGTATGTTCATATAATATCTCTATTAGGATTTCTATTATTTCTATGTGGATGAGAGAACTCGACTTCGACGAGATAGACTGCAACTTCATTTTTCAAAAAGACCGATCTATTGTCTTGACCAAGTATCGATATCGAACTCTTGATAGCAACATACCGTGTAAATCATACAAAGGGGCAATCTTTCTCACTAAATATCGATAGCAAACTCTTAAAAGTAGCATAATATTTAGCTCATAATCACATTGAATGACTTTATATTGAGAATCATGCCATCATTCAAGAGAAAGGTGTAGATTTTGAAAACTAAGTATTTGTGATAAACTCGATTATTTTTGGAATAGTGAGCATATGAAATAGAAGAAACCGTGTGATTAATGTGAGTTTGTAATTCATACTATTTTGAGGTTTTTCACTTATATAAGTAACAATGTTTTATCACATACAAAGGAAATGTGAAATGGTTCTAATTTGAAATATATCTATTTTAGAATGGCGTCCTCTGTTAGACAGACAGTAACTGATTGTTTAAGAGCTTGTAATATCGAAAATGTGTATGCAAACTTATTTATATTTTTTTTAGTACAAAAAAAAAAAAGTGCCGCACTTGGGGTTAAAATTCAAATGTTCATTGAACTTTGCGTAATGTTTCTCATTAGCTACTAAATCTTAAAACAATTTCGAATGGTCATCGAACTTATAAAATTGTTATCTCATTGGCCATTAGACTTTAAAAGTTTTTTTAGATGATCACCAAACTTATCACAATATTATCTTATCTATCACTCAGTAACTCAACGCTAGATAATTCAATAGACGCTAACATTACACATTTTGTCGTTAGTTGATAAATCACCCAAAAACAAGCTCCTATCTATTGAAATTGCTTATAAAAAATGTGAGTAAATTTAATCTTTTTCCTATTTTCTTTTGTTTATTCGTATTATTTTATTTAATATTATATTGTACTGCTTTTCTCGTTAATCGCATTTTTTATAAGCTCATTTTTTTGCTGATTTGTCATCAACTAACGACAATAATGTGCCATGTCAACGTTTCCTTATGCCACCTCAGCGAGACCATAGAATTTTCTAACTCGATTTATCGAGTGATGGATAAAATAACGATTTGATAAGTTTGGTTACTATTTGGAAAATTTTAAAGTTTAATGGTCAATGAGATAATAATTCATAAATTTGATGATCATCCGAAAAACTTTTAAAGTTTAATGATCTATAGGATAATGACTTAATAAGTTCGATGACCACCTAAAAAACTTTTAAAGTCAAATGACCAATGAAAAACATTGTACAAAGTTCAATGGCCATTTAAATTTTTTTACCGCGACATATTGAACTAAACAATATAAATACGTACATATTCTCTTTCTTTTGTTGTAATTGCTTAATCCTTATAAGTGGGTGTTTTTTTTTTCTTAATTTCCAAGAACATACCAGTTATATAACAACATTGCTGATACATCATCCATATTCATGATGCATTTGGCTTCTGTTTGACACCCATTTTTTATCTCATTCTCATTCTCATTTTTCTACGGTACTCATTTCTAACCACACATTCTTCAAATAAAATAATATTACACATAAACTCAAAAATTCTTCTTACTTTTTAACCACACATTCTTTACATCTATAATTGGTGTCAAACGGGGGCTTGAATAAGGATGTGTAAATTTGGTTTTTGGGTTAGTTTGAGAATGGATTGAATACTTTAATCATTTAAACTTTGACTACACTTATTTTATGAAGCATGTATACTTTAATGCTACGTTAGATCATATCACAAGTTGAATTTCCACTCACACAATTAATAAGCTGGAATACTTTTAGTTTCAGTCCATGAGTTTTATTTCTAATAGTTACATTAAACCCTGTTTGCTTCCAATTATTTCAACAAGAAAATGCCTTTTTTGACCCTTTTTTTAAAAAATTGTGGGGCCCACTATGACACAAAATGGTCAAATATTGTGGCTCCCCATTACAAGCAATGGTGCAAATTCTGCTTTTCATTGGAAACAAACAGGTCCTAAAGAATACCATGTTATCCTTAAATTAGCATGATAGATAAAATATAAGTAACTTTTCTCTCTTCTGTTTAACATTCTTTAATTTATTAGGAACAATAGTTGCATAATCTGATTTTCATAATAAAATTTGATAAATCGACAGGACATATTCTATTCCCAAATCACTTATTTTCATGAGTAAGATTTGATTTCTCTTCCTTAACCCTTTCATATTGATGCAGAAGCAAAGTTCCATCGTTGAGTGCCAAATGAAAAATTTAAGGAAAGTTACAATCCTCACCACAGAATAGTGCGCATACACGCGCTATTCTTCTTGGCATCTGTTATTTTGGCATAAATCTTTTTGGTTCTTGAAAAGAAACAATTTCAGAAGGTTCAATTGGCCAAAATGAGTTTTTATCATACACGCGCTATTCTTCTTGGCATCTGTTATTTTGTCATAAATCTTTTTGGGTCTTGAAAAGAAACAATTTCTGAAGGTTCAAGTGGCCAATATGAGTTTTTAGACTCTCAGATTTATTGACATTCAATTTATTTTTGAATATAGTTATTTTTCTTCCATAATTCGCGAAACTATACTCAAATGCTCCCTATTTTCTTCAATTTTGGAATAGATGAGGATTTTGTTAATAAATACAGTGACAAACTTGTCAAAGAATTCCTTAAAGACTATTCATAAGGTCCACGAAAGGTGTCGGTTCATTAGTTAAACTAATGGACCCATGAAGTATTTATAACGTCCTCATCTAGTACTAAATGTCATTTTCTGTACATCCGGTTTTATCTTTAGTTGAAGGTAGCCTGATCGAATTCAAATTCTCTATGTAACTTATCAAAAATAAGTTATCCATTCTAGGAAGAGGGTATTTGTTCTTGATGGCGACCTTGTTGAATTCTCGGTGGTCTATTGAAAAACAAGGTTCTAAACGGGGCATAAAACCAGGAAACGGAGGTAGACTCATGCCTAGCGCTGGGTAAGCTGGCACCACCATGTGACAGGGGTAGTGCCCAATGCCACCGCACATGGGTCGTGTAAGAGCAGCAGCGCCAGATGCAGTTGTAGTCGCCCGAATCCAAGAACCATCACAACTGGTTCACATGAATCTATTGGATCCACCAAAAACTGTTACATGGCCGCAGCTTATATTGCAGCTTATGTTCTGAGCATGTTTGGCCTAGTATATAAGTAACAATTATGCTATTTGTTCAATCATACTTGACAATAATGGTTGACAATGTTGGTGTCGTCAAAATCCGATCCATAAGTAAATTGTACAGTTTCAGTAATTAAAATATAACAAGCACGGGAAAATTGAGAAAACTTGTCTATATTCAATTTATCACATGTTTCCCGCGCTAAAGAGAATCACATTCTTTCATACTGACACATACACATTTGACCGAGTCATCAATTCTGAGCTACTTCCATAAATTCCAAGAGTAAAATTAATTAACCAAACAATTCACATGCGTGCTTATATACCAAACCAAGTCACAAAATATCACTATAAATAAAGCCATGTATCAATACGACATCCTTCTCTATCTATTTAGAAAAACATCATGGGTGTCATAACTTGTGACGTTGAATTAACTTCCTCAATCCCTGCGGCTAGAATGTTCGAGGCTGTTGTCCTCAACTCGGACAACCTCATACCCATGATCATGCCTCAGGCTATTGAAAGTGTTGAAATCCTTGAGGGTGATGGAGGTGTTGAAACCATAAAGCTCGTTAATTTTGGGAAAGGCAGCCAGTTTAAGAGCGTAAAGTACCACGTGGATGCTCTTGACAAAGAAAATTTCAAACATAGTTACAGCATTGTTGAAGGGGATGTTCTCATGGGTATTTTGAGTCAATTACTTATCATATCGAAATTGTAGCCTCTGCTGATGGGGGATGTATTTGTAAGAACAGAAGCACTTACAACACCAAGGGTGATGTTCAGATCACTGAGGAGAAAATTCAGGCAGGCAAAGAGAAAACTATAGCAATGGTCAAGGTTATCGAGGCCTACCTTCAGGCCAACCCAGATGCCTAAATCGAACATACTACATTCGACAAAGTGGATTTGATGGTGCTTAATTATATTGTTCAATCATGTTCAATATTGCGAGCTTAATTAAGACGGCCAAACTTGCAGTTTAGTTTTTCTGAGTACTGATATCACCAGAGCATTTGTGGTTCTCTTTAATGTCACGGTTTTCACTTGTTTTGCTCACAAAGTTGTACTTCAGTACTGTGTTCTATCATAAAAAATGCTTCTTGTATTATATAACATATTGAATTTTAAAGTATGAATTTAAGCAGAGTGATTGTATTCCTATCATTGAACATATCCTGAATTATTTTTTGACTGTTATTGCAACAATTTTTATACTGTTCAAAGTTGAAACAAACTGAATGTAAGTATATATCTTTTGATGCCAACAGTCTTGTCACCACCTACTATATAAAACCTTCTATACTATGCAATAGAAGCAAAAATCCAGGATGAATTGGATTGGTGTAAGCTCTCCCTGGATGTACAACTCTCACGACCTACACTATTACGTGGCAGCTAGCTAAGTAATAGCAAGAAGTTACCTAAGGTTCGCACTCCACATTACTTTGTTTACTTGGCCTAATCGAGGCCATCAATGAAGGAAGCCAAAGCGAATTAAGCATCCCAACCGAAGAGACTTGTAGAGTGGGAACCTCCATGTCCAAGGCACCACAATCTACCGCAGCATATTTCTGAAGCGATGAGCCTTCATTCCACAATGCATCTTCCATATGTTCATCTCATCCAAAAGATTTTCCATACGAGATCTTCCACGTGACTCATTAATTTGAAATTTTTTTAACGGATGCCTGTCAATCAATTTTTCAATTTACTTTTTAGATATCAGGTTAGGGTATAGGGTAGCCACTTTTCAGAATCATTTAATACCACCTCAACCTAAGACAATAGAGGTGATGCCTGTAAGGTTGACGCATTGTCTATTATAAGGCCATGTGTCATCCCATTCAGCAGTAGCTACCTCTCATATTCTACTATAAAAGCTCACAATCGGTGTCATTCATAGGTAATGCAAATTTACACTCTCAATAGTAACTTTTCTTGATAATTCTCTCTTAATTTATATAGTACACTAACTAGATTGTCGGAGTGTCTATGGCCATTTTTTCTACTTTTGGAGAAGGCTACGTGCACCTAGCGTGTGTCCAAGTGTGCAGGAACTTAACTTGTGAACTGGGAGTTGAGCCAAAATCTGTCAGTTGCGCTGTCCAATCGAAAATTGAGGTCAACATACACCTTTCCTACCATAAGAGAAAGCATGAAAAACAAAAATCAAACGATTTACGAAAATGTATTGAGTGCGTCCCCCAATTGCTAGAGAAGACGTGTGGTATAATAAAGGCCCTTGGAGAACCTAATGAGAAGCCAAGGTAGCCTTAAACCCGACCCACTGAACCTAATTGTTGTAATGCATGAAGATGGAGTGTCTTAATTGACTCACATCCATGAGGGAACTAGTGCTCGATGTGGACGAGGGATATTACTCTTGAACATATAGAATTTTTTTTAAAGCGAATATAAGCTTGATAAGATAATTATTTACTACAACTTAGTTTGATCGTACTCAACTTTCACTTGGACAACAATGCAACATCCTTAAGCTCTCTTCAATATCAGCAAGGAAAAACTGCTAAACTTTGATGACACGTTTGTATGGTCGAGCAGATGTAATTGTATGAAGGAAAAAAAAATCTATAATCCTATCAATTGTACTGTCTAAACCTGTCCAATATTACATAGTTATCAAATAGGAGTTGTGGCTATAGTTTATCTTGTTACACATTTGCACATTTGCAGCACTCCCATAGAAAGTAATAAATTCCACGAGTTACTATTACTTTGACTCTGGCTCCACTCCTAAGTTCAAGATAAGTAACTTGTATAAGAAAAAATAACTTACAGGTACAACCAAACATGTCTATTTTTCGCTCGTGTTAGCAACTACGAGTGCAGAAGTAATAATCAGCTTAATTTCACAATTTTTTCTCGACAAAAATGAAATCTGAGAGATGAATAGGCTCACTAACCACGATGTCATATCAAAAGACATAAATTGATCCGCTATCACAACTAGGAATGTAAAATGGAACCTGACAGACGACCCATGCCAAGCTTGATACAAGCTAGCAATTTGCACTTCAGACACGATCTCAGTAAAAATCAAATTAGTAATTAGACTCCACCACAAGTTTCATGGCTACTGATTGGAACATGTCTTCATTAGAATCGAACATCGATTATATTAATAGGAGGTAACAAAGTGACTAATGTTGAAAGTAAATTTAACTTTAATGATTTAATTGACAAAATTAAAGATGACTAATCCAATTGATATTTTCATGAAAGTTCAATGACCAAAATTGAATTAACCTTATATAAAAGCAAAATTTTCCAAATAGCCATCGCTTATGATCAAAACTGAAAAGTGCACACTAATAAAGTTGTTCGTTCAAAATACTCTTTATAGATAAATACTCTTTAACTAGACGAGCTTGTCACCGTCACTGGAGTGAAAATATACATTTCGCAGCCGTGAGCATCAACTTGAGCAGTGAATGAGGATGCGGAATTCAGAGAAACAAATTCGTGCTGCAACCAACAAGAACACGAAGGATTAAAGAAATCATCATATGTCCAGAATTAAACAGGAAAAGAGGAAAAAAAAAATTATATAAGAAAAACGGGACATAATGGTGAAATTCTCGCTTGTGTTCAAAATCATTTCAGTGGCAGCGAAAAGAAATTCAGTAAGAATTACTTTCCTCAGACCACCATTTTAGCAGCAGTAACAATAAAAGGGTAAAAAGAAAATCAGAAAACATTTAACTCTCACTGCCACCAAGATCACTGCAATCATGTCAATTTAAAAGAGTAATGTTATGTAGCCCCATTGGGGTTACAACCCCAGTTTATGTAGAGCTAGATGATAGGCTAAAGTGAAAGGTGGAATTAAATGACTTATTTAATTTCACGTATCAATTAATGCTACATTAAAGCCATCTAGACCGAGGTTGTAATCTCAGTGAGGCTAAATAGCATTACTCAATTCAAAATGCTTAATAGCCATAGTTATTCAACATGTGGCACCAAAGCAGTTTCAGAATTTCTGAAAAAACATCGAAGTACCCAGAGAGGGGTTAAAAGAAGAAAAAACTGAGAGCTAAGAAGAAATAGGCAAAACTAAAATTAATCAATGGCCTAAAACAGTTCAAATATGGAAGTGCTACAAGGTATGGGAACCCTAATGATGTTTGGGTCTAAATCATTTATGGCTATTGATGACAATTTATTTTAGAGGTAACTGCATGTATATAGTCGACAAGAAGAAAATATAATTTAACGTGCCTCTCGTATGACTATGAAATACTTCACCTACGGGATTAAATAGAGCAGCTCTACTCACCTTCCATAAATCTCTTACAGAGACATTGGTAGAAGATTCAAGTCCAAGTGCAGCCCAGTTAACAGTCATAGTGGCAATTTTTGAACTCCGGTTCCACAGAGAAACAACAAGACGACTTCCAGACAATGGACCAGCCCAAACCTTAAAACAAAAATAATTGTCAAATCATGTAACAGAGAATGTCAAGGAACGCAACCTAACTCAGCCTTTACATCCTATGCTAAAATACCAGTCCTGTTATATGGATATCTTACTTATATATTCAATTTTTTTCTATCACACAACTATATAAATTATCATCTCAAAGCTTCAATTTAATTCAAAGAAACATTTCAAAGTAAAGTGACGAGTAGAAAGGAAAAAATACAAATGAAATAAAGAAGGCTTTGGCCTTCTACAGCTTATTGCCCTCTGTAGAGAACTATATGCTAAACTTAAGACTATGTTTGGCCCCCATTTGGCCCATCTCTGTAAGCCCCCATTTGGCCCCCCTTATCCCAAAAATTTATTATTCTCTCTCTTATTTTTAACCATACAATCTTCCATAAAATAATATTACATTAAATCGAAAACTTTTCCTTCTTTTTCAACCATATATTCTCTAAAAAAAATATAATTCCAAAAATTATAATTTCCAAATAATGGGGGCCAAACGGGGGCTAAACTGCTAATAAATACTTAAGCCACTTTTTATCCACGCATTTCGAGGAATCCACAAGTACTAATCACTTTTCATCACTCATTTATATCTATTTATAATTAAATTATTTATAAACACTTCCTCAACGTACTATTAAACTCATAGTCAATTGATAGACAAAGGTTGTAATGTGCATAAAATAACACACATCATATAAGAAAACTTGAGAACTACTCTTAAAAAATAAAAACTAGTTTGTGTAAGCTGGGATAAAATATTTCCCTGGAAGAGTTTGAAGTCACACGCTAACATTCGAATACTGATTAATATTTGCCAAATTATCATCACCAAAAATGTTCAATGTTACATTGATGAATATTCAATGGACTAACATCATTTAAGATTGTGGAATTTTTACTGCTTAAATAAACAAGGGGAAGAGGGAGAGTTCAAAAGGTGCAAGAGGCTACACCTGACAGCAACCATCAGGCCCGAATGCATAAACTTTTCTTCCTTGAACCCCAAGTGGATCTGCAAGCAGAAATAAGATTTACTTGCTTTAATGGCTTAAAAATTAAAATGATCTATCTAATTTATTTAAATGAAAATACAAGTGCAAAGTCTGAATAAGGGCTGGTTTCGATTAACCCTATTGATTCGACTCACACAAATTAAGTATTTCTAAATAAATGTAAAAATCCCAAATAATCCGCCAATTCCATTTACTTTTCATTTTATAATAATTTTTTGTAGAAATTTCTGTCCACACACAAAAAGAAGTATTTACCTTGGTTTACAGCAATAACTTCCTCATTGCTTATAATTTCAAATGTCTCTGAAGTCATGTTTCTTACATCACAACCAATCAAAAGAGGAGCCTGCACGTTCAAGAAAACTACAATTAGTTCGTGTGAAGGATTGAAAAGGCTAATGTTCTTTTATGTTAATTATCAGGATACCACATTATTGGACAATAGTTTTAATGAAAGATACATGCATTTAAGCTGGCGGATGACAAGTTATTTGAAGGAAGACACCAACAAAGTGATGTTCTATATTACATTTGAAAATAGTGTTGTATCTTGGGACAAACATCCATTTTCCTACTAACACCTGTGCAGGGAGTGAGCTCTCTCTTAATGAGATTTGCTGCATGCATACGTTCTTTCCATTCACTAATTTTTAATAGCACGTTAAGCTTTTGCTATATTTCAGCATTCTGGTTATTTTCCTACTAAAAAAAGACAATGTCCCAGCCCCAACTATAGGAGGTACCCTGAATAAGATATTGAAGCCGCTAACAGAGAAAAGACACAAAGCTTAAAAGTAACCAACAATTCTCAACTGTGATGGCCTCATACAAGCAAATGCAAAACAATATTGTGGTACTCCTCAGTTCTAAAAACGAGAAGTTAAGTCAAAACTAGTTAATTAAAATGCACCTTCATCAAAGCCCAAATGCTAAAATGTGCACGGTACTCCTGGTAAGTCATTCCCCCATTTCCAACTTCTAACATATCAGGATCTGCCAAAAATTATCACAGCAATATCAGGAAAAGTTAAAATCAGAATTTCAAAAGAGAGTTTGAGAAATGAAAATGCACTCAACTATAGAACATAGATCATATTCCTACCATTCCATCCACCAGGCCCCGCATAGGCTGCCCACTTGTCATTGAGATCAGCAATTGTAGTCATGCTAAACCAAAAACACAACAGAAGTATCAGTGCAGCCATTTGATAGATAAATGTAACAGTATATAACTTTAAGCAAAACACAACGAAGTACTCTCTCTCAAATCTTTTACATTTATTTTCTTATTTCATATAGCCGATGTATCATATATGTGCTGTACCAAATTGCCTTGAAAGACGAAGGTAACTAATTGAAACCATGAAAAATATTAAGTAGAATGGAAGGAGAAAATTATCAACTACATTCTACTAAAACAACTTCACTGTTATATATATTTTTAATTTCCATTGTTCATGGTCCTCGTAAAAGGGTATTTAAAACAAAGAAAAATTGAATTGATCCAAGCATCCATGGTAATGAGGAAGTTATTCTGTGCCATCCATTCGACATCAAAAAATTAATAAGTTCCTGATTAATGGGATTGAGGGGAAAAGAAAACATTACTATCAAAATCTTTGATGGATAGATGGGAAAAGAAATAGTTCTGTAAACACCAACAGGCACCCCAAATAGTTTTTGATGTGTAAAGCCAAAATGCACACTAAAAAATTTAGACACGGGACTTCAGAACCTTTCCCAATTATCTTTGATGTCATTTGTTGTTCGCCAACTGTTTCCAATCTTGCCTGCCCATAAGGCAGGGTCATTAACGCCCCTGCAAGATTTAGAGAAAGCCGCTCTTAGAGTGCAAGTGGAGATTTCAAATCTAGCAAGGAAAGATAAACATTAGAAAACCGGAGTCCTCAAATGATAGAAATTACCATTCACAAAGTGAATAGAATATGGTCCTTCCAGTTTCATTTAGGGCATCACGCATTGTCGGGTACCTAATCCATGTGAAACCAAAGTAAGGTGAAGCTATAAATTCCAAGTTATAAAATAAAACAAGATGCCAACCTTTCTTCTGGTTTGATGCCCAGATTGAAACAGTTGTCATACTTTAAGTAATCGATGCCCTAAAAATCAACAGATAGAGAACATTTAAGAGCCATTGTAGAAGATAGGCCATTAACAAAGAGCACGAAACAACACAGACGGGAAACATGAAATTCTATGCATCATCAACTGCCAAGAAACTTCACAATCCAATCGTATTTATTAGAGATAATTTGTCTACAGCTTAAATATTTTTCCGTAAAGGTTTCAATTTGAAATGAAATGAATCTCAAACTCTACTCTATTTTATTTTTCCTTAGAGAGGGGGAGGGAGGACTAACACGAGGTTAATTAGAAGGCAATGATCTCTAAAGCCCCCTAACCTAAAACAGTTAACTAAGAAGAAAAGGAATGATGAAAATCATTTTCAGCACAAATGAGAGAAAATAGAACTTCCAAAAGAAGAAACATTAACTAACCCATGATGCAAAACGTGCTGCATCATCATATTCATGTCCAAGTGATCCAGGATGAAGTTCACATGTAAAAGCCCTGTAGAATTTCAAATAATTAGTAGAAGGAAAAATGGATATGCAGCAGTATATTTCACTCAATTGGGACAACATCGATTAACAGTGCTAGTGTTATTACAGTGACCAGATATTAGGAAATTCCTTTTACCCTGCATCAGAGTAGATACCAAGCTTGAGGCCCTTTGAATGCACATAATCAGCAAGAGCTTTAATTCCTGATGGAAATTCTCTAGAATCAGGAACTAATTGACCCTGCACAAGCAGCGAAGCCATTTAACGAATAAGCAAAATGAGAAATTTCATAACTGTATCATTTCTGTTCATCATATATATGTGTGCGTGTGTATTTTTTTTTTATTTAAATTCTTAAATAAACCGGGATACCGTCAATTGAAATAAATTTTCAAGAATGGAAAAAAAAAAAATACTAATCCCTTTGCAGAACACAGAATTTAAGGTTAGCATGGTTCATGGATACTTAACGCACAAAAAACATTATAGTTAAGAGACAGTTTATAGCTGCAAATGTTGAAGACAAGATTTAATCATCTAGATGTGCTCTTCTCTAATAGCTTAAGTTTTTAATCAAGTGGTTCAACATGGTAGGCAAAGGTCATGTGTTCAAGTCTCGCTGTCGCCCATTTAGTGAACTCGTGAACGTGTCACACTTTTATGAAAAACCTCCGCTTTCATGTGAGGGGACGTGTTGAAGAAAAATTTAAATGATATGCATGTGGTCCTCTCTAACAGTTTAAACTTTTAGATCAAGCGATTCAACGACAGATTTACCTTTGAATTCCGCACCAATTCAGACCAGCAATCATCTGCATTTCATGACAGAATACATAAGAAAAGGCAATGATGAACTAGAAACACATCCGCAGACATGCCAGTTGGTTACCTATATTCACGTATTCATAGCCTAATTTGGCCAAACCAGTTGAAATGAGTGCATCGGCTGTCAAAGAGCAAAAAAAGGATACTAGGTTTTAATAACTTCAATAAAGCAAAGTGAAAATAAAAAAGAATCGACTGCTGCAAGTAGAAAGAAAAGAATGAGATTTTTTTCTCGTCAATGATTTTGCAATCAAAAGTGACCACATTCAGCATATCTATCACAATAATCGAGAGGACAGAAAGGTTCAAAATCCACCCAAAGAAATAAAACTAAAACAACGCTTAATGCTACTAGAATAACCAATAAAGGATCAAAAATAAATTTTGGGCACTGGCTTTTGCTTCTTAGGAGTCACGGTTCAAGGGACAAACTCCCGCAAACTCATGCATCTGTAAACTAAGAATTGAAGTAACCTTATCTCCAGCCCCCAAAATTGCCCCGCCAGTATTGTGAAAACAGAAAAGTCGTATCATTTTCAAGACTTGGTGCCATTCAAAATCTCAAGATCAAAGTGGGCAAATTAACAACAAAATTTTTGGGTCATCTACGACAACCATTCCAGTTGTTTAACCTCTGTTACTTCATCATCTTCTTTTCAGCTCTGTCATGAACAGAATAAATCTTTCTATGTGAGCTATCATTGGTGGAGATATAACTATTGAGGTTCACCTCATGGTTTAGTCTAAGTAATGGGAGCTAAAACGTAGTACATGCCATAACATGCTGATTATTCAAGGCAGATGCCTCATTATTATGCCTTAAAAGTTACACCAAATTTTAGAGTGTGTTTGGTAGTGATTTTTGGGGGAATAATTGATTTTTGAATAGTGATATGATGGGAAATGTGTGGTTGAAAAAGAAGAAAAAAGTATTGATGTGATGGAAAATATTATTTTATTGAAGAATGTATGGTTGAAAATGAGANGTTGAAAATGAGAATCTGTACCAAACAGGCCCTTATACTGAAATGCCTGAAATAAGGCGAGCAGGCTTCTTAAATGGAATTGAAAGTGCTATTCTCTCTATAAGTAGAAAGAGGTTAAAGATAGTAGCTAAATTGATGAAAAAAGCCTAAGATGCAGAATACCAAATTATGCAGGCACGGAATTTCTACCACCCCTTGATCCAAATATGTACTAAATACAGATAGCAACATATGCTCACCAGATGAAAATCCTGAATTTAGTAAATTCTTAATTTCTCAAACAATAAACATGTATGACCAATTGCAAATAACAGTCTCCTATGAATCATGTTTACATCAAAAGAATCAATAAATACTAAAAGACTATATTAAACTTGTGTTTTAAAATTTTCATCTTCTTCAACACATCAATTCTCTTGAAGCTAAAAACATTAAACTATAAACATCATTGTGGCACAAACAACTATCCTATTGTCAAACGAGATTAATCGCACAGATAAGCCGTTACCTGTTTCCTTGATAACTTTTTCATTGATATTACAGGCAAAGAAATTCCAGCTATTCCATCTGGCCACAGCCCACAAGAAAATCGAATCAACTCATCAATCCAAAAATCAGAAATCCTATCCATTAAGAATTAACGAGAAACCAGATGATTAAAAGTGATCGAGAATGATTTACATGTCCAAATACCTAACTCCAAACTTTAGATGGGAAGAAATATGCATCAATTATTTTCTTTTAAAACCAAAAATAAATATTATTAACCAACATCAGAGCAGAAGTGAAAAAATGTCCAATATCAAGAACTCGAATTTTGCAAAAAAACAACTTTTGCTTTTACTCCACAAACAAATATAATTATCAGATCCTTAATTTAAGAATTTAATCCTGCAAGACTTGATCTTTGGTACTTACATTTTAGACCGACGATGATATAAAAATTCAGCAAAAAAATTAAGAAAACAAATAAAGAAGAAGAAAAGGTAAAGTTATGCTACCCCATCTGAGGCGTCTTGGCCAATCCATTCTCGAGCTGTAAAATACCATAACTGGAAGTATCAAAAATATTGGTTATGGGCTTTTCTTGGCCGCTCAAATAAGGATGCACAGACAGCACCCTTGCTGTGACTGCCACTGGCATGACATTTACGTACAGAATTGCTATCTGTATGCATGCCGTGGCAAAATTAGAGGCTATCTTAGCCATTATGGGAGTCAATAATCTTTCTTCACTCTTTTTTCTCACTGTGGGTTTTTGGAGAGAATTGGGAGAAGAACGGTAGGTAGAGAATCAAGAATAAAAAGTTGTACATTGGACTGGACCCCAATTTTTAACAATTTTTTAACTCAGAATTTTTATCTCGGAGCGACATATTCTATTGGATCTTCGTTTAGCAAAAGATGCCTGTACTTTTGTATCTGTACTGAACGATTTGTCAACATGTTTGGTTAAGCTTATACACGGCTCTTTCTTGCCCAAATTCAACGTTAGATGCTCTTGATGTCGGAACAAGACGCCCTCCTCATTTACATTTTAATTTTTATTTGAAGTAATTGTTATAATTAGGATCAGAGTTGGTAACTTCTTGGGACTTTCGACGTGGAAGGAGTAATGAATTGAAAAGAATTACTTTTAGTTGAAGACTGATCTCGTGACGTCACTTGCATCGATATGTCAGCATTAGACATCGCTTCTACGAGGGTTGAAATTTGATGATCCTAATTATATCTCACGTTGCTTGAGTAAGGCTTAGTTCGTGAATTTATTCAATTGAACGTTCTTTTCTTAAATGTCGATATTAAGGTTGATTTATATCCAAAATAATCCTTAAAATTTTTAACCAGACATACAACACTTAAGCAAAATGATTTCGGGTGGCATAATATTTAAAATTATAGGATAATCCTTCAAAAACTCTGTTTTAGTTTTACTGTAGAAATGAAAATATACTAGCAAAATAGCTATGAATAGAGTAGGAATTTATGTGCAAACCTAAAATGGTTTGAGTAAGTGAAAAATAATTTGATCTTTAGTATGAAGCAAGTTACGAGACCACGAATAAGAATATTAGGTCCATGTTCGGTAAGGATTAAAATTTCGATTTTAATCTAAAATAAAGTCAACAATTAATTTTAACAACGTATTTCGTATGATCCACAACTTTTCAACTACATATTTTATCAACTTTTATTAAAATTTATTTAAAAAAACTAATTTTAACCCCACCAAACATGGGCTAATTATTGTTTGATTTATTAAAGCAAGACCGGATGTGAATGGTAGGTCGGCTTGATTCTCTTTGTTGAACTTTTGAAAACGTAAAATAATTGCAAGAATAAATAAAATTAATTTATTAAGAATATAATAACAAAATAATATTAAGTCAATACAACCCTGATTGGGTGAATGAATACAATAAAATTCACGTGTTGTCTTTAAGAGGTTGGACACACACAATGCAATTCATGTATGCATAGAATACTTGAAACAATAATACAGTTTGTGGAATTTTATTTTCAGTTTACGGACAAGTTTCTCCCTCGAGTCTCTTCTTGGTGACTGATTGTCAAGTCTACTACTACATCATTGTACTAAACTAGCAATTGACATAAATCTATGGATATGAGTAGATTCAATTATTTTTGTCAAGGTTACCATGATGGTCAGCACGGTGTCACAGACTTAGTTATGTCACATCCGAATGCACTAAAATTGTGCCACCTTAACGTTTCACAATTCACGTCCCTCACGAAAAAAACGTTAAGTCGGCATTTCAACCCTTACAATAACTTAATCAATGAGGCTAAATTATAACAACTTCAAGTAGAGAATTTGAAGTGGAAAATACACGAAAACAAGTAAGTTTTGGAGAACTCTCTCTTTGTATAAATGAAATGAAAACTTTACAATCTTCCTCAAGTATTAAACTCACTTCACTTCATATGATTTACAAATGAGACTACATCTCTATTTATAGGCAAAAACCTTACAAGTTACCTTCAAATCAATGACCAAAATTAAATTGATCAAATGGTATTCATTGGTTGCAAGTCGTATGCAGGTTGCGTTAGAGCAAGTGGTGGTCAATTTGACCTTTGCTTTTTCGCAAGTGGCAATTCTCTACACTCCAATGCAAGTGGACAAGTCCTTTTCACAGTAGACAATTGAACTTTGCTTCCTCCTTAACATTTATATGCAAGTGGCCCAAGTTGCCCATTTGCGTCCCCATAACAGCTGATTCCAGCTTACAATATTTCTCATCCTAATTTTTGAACTTAGAGGAACCTCATTTTAGGCCTGTACAGCTGCCTAAGTTCTGCCTGCACAATCTTCTTGTGTCCCCAGCCTGCGTTATGCCTGCATTTCTTGTCTACAATCTGTTTGAACTATGTTGCAGCTGTTGTCGAGACTAATCAGCCGCAACCTGGGAGGACGTAAATCGCTCTCCCACCAAATATGTCTATGCCCTCGTCATCATGTAGTGTCGAAGCTCGGTCTCAAACTGCCATAAGCCTCCTTTATTCTCCCAAGCAGTTTCGAACTTGGGCAACCCTTTCCATTTGATTAAGTATTGGGTGCAAGGTGGATCATCCCATCCGTCTGACCACTTGATCCGCCAAAATGGATTCAACATCTTTATCAAAAGATTTTGTAATGATACGAGGTCCCCAATGTGACTTGTTTCTCCCCGGATCTTCCATATTCGGCATATATAGCTTCAACATACTCACATGGAAAATTGGGTGGATGTTCAAGATGCTTAGGAGATCTAGCCAGTAGGATACTCTTCCAACCTTGGATATGACAGTAAATAGACCTCATACTTTCGAACCAAGCCTCTATGAACTTTGCGGTAGGTTTTGAATTGTTGCGACAACACTTTCAAAAGTACTTGGTCCCCATGTTGAACTTCAACTGTATTCATTTCGCATTGGCCCATTTCTTTATACGCTTCCAGCTAAGTCCGCATGATCTTCCCATGACTTAGCCATTTTTGTTGCTTTGGGGACTTCGGCCAGAATCACTGGCCGTAGGCAAGGTGTAAGGCGTAATAGGTTGTCATCACATTGAAAGCTCAAATGAACTATGTCCTGTGAGATGGAATTCCAGATCACTTACAATATTTTTGGGCACACCCCCAATATTTCACAACATTTTTAAAGAACAACCTCGTCGTTTCCTCTGCGGTGCAATCCTCAAGGGCTGGAATGAATGTAGCGTACTTTGAAAATTGATCAACAACAACAATTATCGACTCGAACCCTTCAGACTTCGACAAAGCACTAATGAAATACGTGATAATCACATCTCATGGTTGTTTTGGAATAGGAAGAGGATCAAGAAGTCCCGTTTGCAACATGTTCTCCATTTTATCTTGTTGGCACACAAGACATGTTATAACATATATCTTCACTTGATCCTGCATTTGTGGCCAATAATATGCACGTTCAATCAAGGACAATGTCCAATCTATTTCCAAATGTCGAGCTCACTAGGTATCTGACATTCATGAATCACTTCACACCTCAAATTATTCCACTTAGACACAAATACCCTCCAGTGGTATATAGCAATCCGTTTTCAGGCAGTCTGCGTCAAATTTCTTACTATCGAGTCATGTTCCAACCCTTATTTGATTAACTCCAACAAGGAACCCATGGCCTAACTGATTACTGCAAGTTACACCTTCATGCTATATGCGTCTGCCACTACGTTCACCTTTCACGATTTATACTCTATCACGTAATAAAACTTCGCTAAGAAGTCTTGCCAAGAAGCTTGTTCGGCTTAACTTGTTTTGGGACTAAAAGTAATTTGTTACCACATTGTCTGTTTTAATAACAAAATGGGACCCAAAAGATAATAACACCGTACCCATAAGCAATTCACAATGGCCATCATTTCTTTCACTTTCACAGTGTATCGCCGCTCCGTGTCATTCAACTTGCGGCTTTCAAAAGCAATTGAATGCCATTATTGCATAAGCACACCTCCAATGGAAAAATACGATGCATCTGTCTGCACTTCAAACCTTTTGTTAAATTCCGGCAATGCCAATACCGGTTCCGCCGTGACCCCGCTTTCAAATCATCAAAGGCTCTTTGACATTTCACGGACCAATCCTACCCTTGGAACTTTTTCAACTAATCCGTCAATGGGGCCACTCAAGATGAGAAACCATGAATGAAACGTTGGTAATAATTTACCAACCTAAGAACAGACTGCAACTTCGTCACTTTAGTTAATGGTTTCCATTCATTAATTGCTTTAACTTTGGCTCCATCTATGTGCAACTGACCATGCACGATGATATGCCCCAAGAAGTTCAGCTCCTCTTTTGCAAATGAACATTTATCCTTTTTGATGAACAACTCATTTTCCTGCAACGCTTGAAAAATAATTTTCAAGTGTTCAACATGTTCCTCCAATGTGTTGCCATAAATGACAATGTCGTCAAGGTAGACCACCACGAACTTATCCAATTAAGGATAAAATATATTGTTCATCAAGGTGCAAAATGTAGCTAGAGCATTCATCGAGCCAAGGTGCATGACAAGCTATTTATAGGAACCATACCAAGTAATGTATACAGTTTTCGACTCATCTCTTTCCTCTATTTGAACTTGATAATAACCCTTTTGCAAATCAACCTTCGTATAGAATTTTGCAGTTCCAAGCTAATCAAATAAATCTACAACCAATGGAATGGAGTACTTATTTTTCACCGTCACCTTGTTTAGTGCCCGCTAATCTACGCACATTCACAATATTCTATTAATTTCTTTTAGAACAACCCCGGGGCACCTTAGGGTATTTTGAACGATCTAATCATTCCCATTTCAACAAGCTCCATTAGTTATCTCTGAAGTTCTTTCAACTCTAGGGGGCCATGCAATAAGGTGATATGATTAGAGGTTTGGTACCGAGTTCCAATTCGATGCAATGATCCACTTCTCTCTTGGGCAATAATTTCCTCAACAATTCCGTAGGCATCAGGTCCTTATTTTTCTCAAGGACTTTTGCAATGGCAACCAACAAAATCCCATCATCAATGCTGACTTCAACCGCACCTGACAACTAAACAACAAATGTCGGTTCACTCTTCTTCTGTCCTTTGGCTAGTTACATTACCAAAAGTTGTCCTGTTTTTGTCCCCACGGAAACGGTAGGGACTATGCATGACGATCCTTTCATAAAAATGCAAA